TTTAAAGTTGGCCCTCTTCTAAGAAGCAACTTCCTGCCACCAGCTGAGTATGTTCCTTCTCCTCCAAGTCAGGAGGGGGTGTGTGAAGGGGAAGACTAGATGCACACAGGGCATGGACTGACCTTCCCAAGTTTGCAAGATAATCTGATGGCTGACAAGGGTGCCAAAAATCCACTTCGGCATCACAACGGCTGGACCCCACTCCTCTCTGGCCCCACTAGCAATGCTTATCTCATGACAAGCTTCCACTTTTGAAAACAGCATAAAACGGATGCTGTTTAAATAGCATAAAACTTAGGCTTATGAAAACACATAAGCCTAAATGATTTATTCAAATTCCCTTATTATTGTGGGCTTCCCTGGTAGCTCAGACGGTAAAGAATCTGCTTGCAGTGCAGGAGACCCAGGTTCAGTCCCTAGGTTGGGAAGATCCCCTGGAGAAGGGAACAGCTATCCACTCCAGTTTTCTGGCCTGGAGAATTCCATGGACTGTATAGTCCATGGGATCGCCAAGAATCGGACAGGATTGAGAGACTTTCACTTTCTTGTGATGCAATTCCTATGCTAACCACAGGGTGGTGCTGCAGACAGATCTAGGGATTTGTTTGGGGGAACGGGTTTAAGACTATTTGGGTTTTTATAAATGGAGGTACAGCTACACAATGAAAGCTAATTAAAAGAATGAGGTAAAAAAAAAAAGAATGAGGTCAAGATATACGACTTTTAAGGACCGTCTTCAAAATATGCCACTAAGTGAGAAAAGCAAGTCACTAAACACTATGAAGAGCATGTTTGTAATTATGAAATCTTTAAAATGTAAATATATATGCAGGTACATGCATTGTTTTTTCCTGAGAGTTTAAAAAAATAGATTCCTATCAGTTATTACTTTGAGGAGTGGGACTGGAGTCCAGGGGGAGGCGAAAGTGTGCTTCTTTTCGGTTTTATAAGTTAAAAAATTATTTGATTTTTTTAAATGATTTGCACTCACTAATTTTAAAACCATCATTACAAAAACAATCTGATTGCTACAAAAATTGAAATAATGCAGGAGTTAACAGAAGTCCCTTCTTGTCCACCTTTTAACCCCATTCCCCAGGGGACAGGTGACCTCTGTTTGGTTTCTGGATCAGCAGCATCAGAACCACATGGGAAATTGCCAGAAATGCAGATTCTCAGGCCCCACCCCAGACTTGCTCGAACTCCACAGTGGGGCCCAGTAATCTGTGTTTTCAAAAGGCTTTCTGGTGACTGTGATACACTCTCCAAGTTGAGAGCCATTAGCAGGTTAGGCCAGCTCTTTGGCGGGCAGGTGAAGAAGAATACTGCTGCAGAAATGAATAACTCCAATGGCCTGCTTCCACTCACCCAGTGTACTCTAGGTTGAGGTTGGCAGCCCTTTGAGTCCACTGTGACCTCTCTGTTGGGGCTGACTGACAACCATCTTCTCACGGTTTGGAGTGGAAAGGAAAAGAGGAGTGGAGTAGAAACTTTAAAAAAAAAAGAGTAAGGAAATGGGAAAAAATGGCAGAGAAAGAATGCAAATAAAATATTTACACGATTTGGAGACAAAAAAATGTTGCCAGCCATTTCACTAAACAAAGACTGCCGCCCCCCCATCAAGCCATCAACCACTGCAGGGCATCTGCCCAAAGGGATTCAGGATGGAGAAAAACAGGATACTGCTCCTAAATCCTTAAGATGCATATCTAAGGAATAATTTCAATGAGCCTAGATTCTTGCATCTTCCCATGCGGAGAAAAGCAGTAAAATCATTAACTTGAGATTTTTGTGTGTGATTAGCAGTAATTTTTTTTTTATGTTCAATTACTTGTTTTTCCCCAGCAAAAATTCCTGGCTCCTTCCTTACCTCTTTGGAACAGTTCCTCAGTGCTATTTGAGAGGCTTTCTCATGGGCTATAGACCAGAAAGTTTCTCAAATAAAACCTAACTTTTAGATGGTGTTTTTCTTCAGCCAACAGATGGCAGGGAGATGAGACTAGAGCCTCAGGGCTGCTCATTCATTCATTTAATAAGCATTTATCAGTTTTCCATTCTAAATCTATATGTTGATGTTCATTTCCTCCCTCTGACCTACACATTTCATTGTCATCATTTACCAAATCTGAGAGGGTCATTCTCTCTTCCACCCTTCGCTGTGTTCACTTTTAGGGGAAGTGTTTACCAGCGATTCCTTGCTCTCAAAGCTACTCAAAAAGAGTCAGAATCTACCTGGGGTGGTGTGGGGCTGGGGGTGAGGGTGGGGGAGGGGGATGAGGGGTTTTGCGCAGGCAGGTGGGCACGGGGTCCCCTAAGAGAGGAAATGCATGTGAAAGCGCTCCCTTTCCTGGCAACAACAATCAAGTCCACAGCTGGGAAGCTCAGATCCCAGGGGAATCTCACAAAGTTCTTCAAACCACCGACCCTAGTCCCACTTTAGGAATCTGCCTCTCCTGCAGAAGAGTCAGGGGCATGCTCCTTCAACTGGCGGGGTGATGGGAGACAGTGCAGAAAAAAGCGGAGATATTAAACAACTGCGTGTATGGACGCTCAGCCCAAACAAAGGCTTGAGAATTTTGAGCCTGTGTCTTCTGACAAAATAACCCAACCTTTACTCACCAATCCCCCATCCCCCATCCTCCAACAACAACAACAACAAAAAACAAACACTGTTCTGTCTCCTGAAGGAGGCTGTCCCGGTCAAGAAACCAGCGTTTGTTTTGCGGGAATGGTGGAGATGGCGGCGGGGAGCTGGTGGGGGTGGATTTAGCTTGTAAGGCCGCTGATATCTTTCTCTCTGTTCCATTTTTTCATTTGATTGATATCTGCAAGAAGTTCAGTACAATTGGTTAAGCGGAATACTTGACTCACTGGGACACTTTGTTTTCTTATATTTTACACAAATGAGCATTTACTTTCATAGAATCCTAGACTTGTAAAGCTGGGACTACCTGACGGTCCGTCTCTGGCCCATCAATACTGTCTTGGGAAGTTCTAAGAAAAACACAGTGCCCAGGCCCCAGGCCTTATCTACTGAATCAGAGGATCTCAAGGGGTGGGACCAAGGGGCATCACTAGTTTTTAAGCCTTACAAGTGACCCCAGAGTGCAGCCAGCGCTGAGAAACAGCTCTAGTCACACGTTTCTATTTTATGGATGTAGAAGCTCAAAGAGATGAAATGAAGGTCATGGTGTCAGTCAGAGGTATCTCATACCCAACTCTTCTGAAAGTCCGCCCAGTGTTCTTACCACTGTGCTCTTTTATCTCTTCTTAGCATTTCGCTGAACATGAAATTTAGGCAATTTATAGTTGAGGGAGAAGGGACAGAGTCCCTTCATTAAGGATTGAGTGGGGCGGGGTGCGGCGGGGAGTTGCTTCACTGGAGGTCCAGGGGTTAAGAGTCTACGCTTCCAAAAAAAAAAAAAAAGAAAGATTCCATGGTTCCACTGCAGGGTTCGCTGGTTCAATACCTGGTCGGGGAACTAAGATCCTGCATGCCATGTGGCACAGCCAAAATAAAAAAATAAAAATAATTGGGGGGGGGGCTCACTTCTGAGCGCTCAACTCAGCTGCAGTTTCTCCAGGACAGAGCTACTTGCTAGCCTTATCGATAGTGCAGTCAGTTTCACTCATGACAGAACACATTCAGTGTTCTCACTTTCAGGAATTAATCACATTCAAGCGAAGGACAGTGGGGGAATAGATCTTAATATTGGAGCAGGGGTGGGTGTTAGGATGAGAAGTCACAGGTCCTGCTTAAGAAATAGTAAAAACTACCAACTTCCTCAGGAAAATACACATATGTAAATCTTGCCTGTAATTTTGGGGGATTCACAGACACCTATCCCCCACCCCTAATTCATCCATTGGAACCAGATTAAGATCTCCTGGGACTAGATGATTTTGAAGCTCTATTTTCTGGTACTCGAAATGTAGTCTGGGAACCATAGGAATCAGAGTCACTTGGAGTTCTTGTTAAAACAAAAGAACTGATTCCTAGAGTGCCACAGACCTACTGTTGCAGAATCTCTGGAGAATGAGGTGAGGATTCTGCATGTTATTAAAAATCCCCAGATGACACTTTTGGAGACTAACATTTGAGAATCAATGCTTTGTCCCAATTTGAGATCTTTATAGTTTTTGAATGCTTTCATTTGTTGAAAAGTTTAGGTTTCATCTGTTCAATTGTCAACTGTACCAAATAATGTGTTTAGCGTGAATTCTAATTAAAGAATATTTACATGTGTATAGGTAGAGGAAAAACAGCTTGTTGGATGGACAAGTAGATAATGGTGTCTCTTTCTGTGTACTAGGAATATGGATGATCCTTTCTTCCCTTGTCCTTCTATTTCTCTCTTCCTCATTTTCTTTCTTTCTATATTTAAACAAGACTCTTCCTCTTTTTGAGTTCAGTTTCCCCATCTGAAAAAGAGGGTGTTGTAACTAGGTGAACTTCAAGGCCTGCTCTGGCGTTCACTGACTCCATATCATCCTCTAGCTCCCTTGTCCTTTTAATGACATGAACTGCATGGGCAACAGTGTTTGGAGAATAATCATGTTTTATTTCTACAGGTATGACGTTGCAATAGCTAGCAACCATTTTTGCTCCAAGGAAAGTATTCTCAAGGAGTCGGAACTGAAATAATCTATACTATCTACACCCACCGCCCCCAGAAAGTTCGTCTCTCTTTAAAAACCTCAGAAAGGGCCGTCCGCGCGCATCTCTTAGGAGCATAAAAATGACTGTGAACCAAAAAGCCAGGGCGTGGTCACCCCGCCCACTGGGCCCAAGCATCACCACCCCTAGGGCCGCTTTCAAGCGCGCAGATTGGCTGAAGGCAAGAAAGAGTCCCGCCCCTGGTCTTATGACCCGCGCTGAAAGCGACGAGTCCTGGCTTTTGCAGCGTTGTGGTCGGTGGTCAGCGGCGTTCCTGTCAGGGTTCCGCGAGCCTTTTCCCTGCTGTCGCTGCTCTTGTCGCCGCCGCCTGCTCTGTGGGATCATGGTGTGCTTCCGCCTCGTCCCGGTTCCGGGCTCTGGGTTCGTTCTCCTCTGCCTCGTCCTGGGTGAGTTGTCGGGCCCTTCTGCTTAGTCCCTGAACCTGGGCCCGGGGCTCCCGGTTCAGAGGCCGTAACCTGAAAGACTGGTCCGGAGGGGAGGGGGTTGAGAGGCTTGAACGACAGACACTGGGCGTTGGCGCTTGGCCCGAGGTGTTGAGCCGTGACCTAGCGAAGGCCCGACCGAGGGATGGCGAGGGAAAAGGGCCCGTGAGAATAAAAAGGAGCACGGGGTGGGGGTGGACGCTGAGGGAGTAGGTAGGGGAGAGTGAGGAGTGGAGCACTGCGGGTGGAAAGAGTAACTTGGGGGAGATGCTAAGGAGAGGTGAGCGTGGGAGGGCGGTAGGTGCGGATTCTAGGGTGGCACGGACGATTAAGAGTCCTGGTCCTAGGATCAAGGAAGAGTTTTGAAGATGGTGGGAACCTGTGGGGCGGGAGAGAAAACTGAGGGCGGAAGGCGACTGCCTGCGTGGAGAAGCTCGGGTTAAGGGGGGTGGGGGACAGAGAGGGGGAGATTCTGAGGGGCAGTAAGAGGCTTGGTGGGGTAGGAGTTTAACGCTGTGGAGGAGGGGTGATTAAAGAGATGATAAATTGGGGTTTGGCACTTGGAGTGTCGATGGGGAAGCTAAGGTAGCTGGGGCAATTTCCAGACGAGAAAACTTGTGCCCAACCTCTGGAGACTAAAATGGATGAATACAAACTTCGTTGGGGAGTGAATATCTGACTTGGAGGTGCTGAGGACATAATTGTTTATTTTTTTAAACCAGTTTTGTTACTTCCTTCCAGTTAGACCGATTAGAAAAAAGGCCCCCAGATATTGAGGTTTTGGGAGTGGTGTATCCGAATCTTGTATACTGCCACTTCGCGTTCAGAAGCTCCTTTTCTTCTCTCTCACACAACCGGCCTATTACCGACTGGTTTTCGGAGGAGAAGGAGGGCAGGTGATTTCCTAAGGATCGGGTTTTTACTAGGTCCTAAGAATGACTGGCTGACTGCTGGCGCTGAGAGCGCCCCGCGCCCCACCCCCACCCCCACCCCACCCCTCCCCTCGACCCGCAAGCTTTAGGTCCCCGAGGCCTTTAAACGCCTGAAAGGTGAACTTTGACCAGAGTGTTTCTTCCTGACCTGATAAATTCAGAGCTTGTTTCTACCTGACTCTTGCCATTTGTGACCTAATAAAAGACCAGAAGGGGCAGACTCAGATGGGAGTCAGTTCAGTCGTGTCTGACTCTTTGCGACCCCATGAATCGCAGCACGCCAGGCCTCCCTGTCCATCACCAACTCCCAGAGTTTACTCAAACTCAGGTCCATCGAGTCTGTGATGCCATCCAGTAGAGAAGAAACAGATACATTAGGGGCCCGGGAAGGGGAATGAGAGGCACACATTTTGTAATAAGCATTTCAGTAGAAGAATAAAGTCAACACGTGGAATGGTGGATTCTCAACCAGGGGGCATTTGGCAATGTCTGGAGACATTTTGGGTTGTCATCACTGGGGATTGCTTTTGGCATCTAGTGGGAAGAGGCCAGTGGTGCGTCTAAACATCCCATAAGGCACAGGACAGCCCTCCCCCACCCCCCCACAAAGAATTACCCATCTCAGAATGTCAGTAGTGCCAAAAGATGAGGAATCTGGCTCCAAAGCCATGGCGTTGGAAGGGGTCTGGATCATCTAGTGATTCTTAAGATCTTTGGCGGGGGGGGGAGGGGGAGTTCCTGTCAGATCAAAGCTATTTCCAGACTAAAATTAAGACATTTGTCTTCTTCACTCTTGTCCTCTCCTCAGTACGGTGGAGTTTTCCAGAAGCTATAGAAAGTGTGACGACATCACCACTCTCATGGGTCTGACATGTTTTAGTCCCTTTTTTTTTTTAGTTTTAATTTCTAGTACAGCAAGTAGCAATGGATGTAAGTCACATAAACGAAGCCCTTTGAGGTCCTCAGTGGATAAGAGAGTAAAGGGGCCCTGATGCCAGAGGGAGTCCAGCTGTGCATTTAGTGCAGGAAAACCTTCTGTAACCCTTTTGAAAGGGGCCACGGAGCTTTGCTCAAATGTAATGTGCAGCCTTGACTCCCCTGTGAAGCACTTAGGGAGGCCAAGTGACCCTATGAGAGGATTGTTTACAGTGAGAAGCACCTTATCAGTGACTAGAACACATCTGACCAAGGCATCTGGTAATCAGTAGTTCCCTGCCAATTGGATCGGCACAAACAACACTATTATTGTTCAGAGAAAGGGGAAAAAAAATCATTGTCTTGTTGGCTTTCTTGTCATTTTTTTTCCTTTTAATGAAAGCTTTTTTGTGTGTTCTTTTTACAAAAGCAGTGCTTGCTCATCGCAGAAAATAAACAGGCAAAAAGAAGCACATAAAAAAACCCATCAGCTCATCTGCTAGTTTGCCATTTATTGTTTGGGACTAAGCTAGATTCATCCTCTTGGAAGATTTCCAGGATTGAGTCCCTCCATAGGGAACCCAGTTCAGAACAGAGTTTGGAGAAAAGGTAACTGTTCCTAGGTCAGATTTTTCGAAGGTACCAGGATAAAATAGAAACTCTCTTTTCTTTGCAGCTGCTTTTGCTGCCCGCTGTGGGTGCAGTGGGGGAACTCAGATTCCTTCTGTGTGTCTCTGTGTGTGTGAGAGAGAGAGAGGGAGCTCAAACTCCTATGTGTGTTTAAGAATTTAGCAATTCTTCAGTTGCTTGGTGGATTTTGCACCTTACCTTTAGGTATCAAAATGGATACCAGTAATAGTTTTTTTGGAAAGTCAATAAAGTATCTGCTGTGAAATTCACGCTGTTCCTGAGCACTGCAGAGGGTCCCAGGGAGGGGGATTTGTTCCTGGATTTATGACCTCATGAACCCTTAGTGCACCAGCTGCACCAGTTTCACTTGGTAACTAACTCTTTCCCAGCTCTACCAGGTAGCTCTTTAAAAATAGCTGCTTTAGAGTAAGTATAGAAGGGAATTCTTAGAGCCTGTGTATTGTCCTTTTTCACAAAGATTAAATTATGCTATTATTTATTGGAATGTATTAGACCTGCCTAGAGAAAGTCTGAAGAAAAGCTACCTAGAGGCGTTAGAGAGTAGTGGATGAAAAACTTTTCCTAGCATCATTGCTTATGTTCCCCCGTGACATTATGGATTTCAGAGTTCTGTGGTTACTGATTCCCATAACTAGTCTGACTTCTGGTTTTTATAGGGTGGAGGCTTTTCTGGGTGGGGAAAAACCTGATAGAAATGTCCCAAGTGTGTACTTCACTGGTGGAGGAAGTTCCTGTTGATGGAAGCCACTAGGCGAAAGGGCTCGATGGAGCAATGGAGAAGCCGGTCAGGTTCCTGCTCTCAGGGAGCTTACCTCTTAGTGGGGGAAGACAGCCCCTCAGGTCAAGAATAGAATTGCAGAGTGTGATAAGCAGGTGAAGGCAATGAGGCAGGATATGAGGAAGAAGAAAGAGCAGCAGGTAGGGAGAGAGTGGTGGGGTTGACCCTTCTTGACATTTGTGGTCAGAAGGCCTTCATTGTTGGGTGACATTTGAGCAGAGACTTGAAGGAGGCCAGCCCAAGTGACTTATTTGGAGGAATAGGAGTCAGTCTGGTCTTGCCCAAATGCCTAGGTTATTAGCCTGTTTTCCACCCTTTTATTCCCAGCCCCCCTCCCCCGTACTAGGCAAATCTCTGGATCTAGTCTCTGAGTGGAGACTGTCTGCTCCACTGTTAACTCCCCATTGCCTCCGTGACACCGGGCCTGGGGCGCGGGGTTAACTCAGGCTTTTGTTGAAGGTCTTCGTTGGTGAGCACTGGGGAGACATTGGTGAACTAGATTAAGTTGGTTACCTTTTTCTTCTGTGAACCTTACATTAGGCTTTGCAAGATGTTTTTCTGTGTGTTTTCAGATGGAGAACTTTAAGTGCTAAAGCTGTACAGATGATTATAAACCAACTGATTAAAGTATAATCCCATATAATAATGCTGGTATCTTACCTGTTGTGTCTGACTCTCTTTTCGACCCATGGATTGGAGGCTGCCAAGCTCCTCTGTCCAGGGGATTTCCAGATAAGGATGCTGGAGTGGGTTGCCATTTCTTTCTCCAGCTCCAGGGTATCTTTCCAACCCAGGGATTGAACCCACGTCTCCTGCATTGGCAGGATTCTTTACTGCTTGGCCACCAGGGAAGCCTCATCTTACCTCTATCTCTTCACATAAACCTAAGCAGTAGTGAAGGTTCACCTGGGGAACCAGAACCTCCTAGGTGAGGAGAATAAGATTTTCACGAAGAACCAGTTTATCTCTCTTGGAGGTGATTGAAAAGTGAGAAAGTAAGCACTGAGATTTTTCTGTAGCCTTACCACTGATAACTTTGGTTTCACCGTTCTGCTGAAATTATTCTAGTTTTAATAAAGATACTCGAAAGGATAGCCTTATTATTCGTCTATTGGCCATTGGTTATCACATCTGATAGGATTTATAGATATTCACATATTTCCCATGAGTTCAGCTTTCACTATATCCTTGAGTGGAATTTGTGATGAAGGATTATTTCACAGCATGATAGCTGAATTCAGTGATCCTTGGTGCAAGAAAACTGCTCTTCCTCCTGTAGTGACGAAAGCATTCTGATCATAATTTCAGATTAAAGTGATCAGAGATCCCGTCAGCTCCAAAAGTGTACTTTATAAGTACTTGTTGGTATCCTGCCGTGCATTGCAAAAGAATTCTGGAGGTCTGCCCAACACCACTCAGCAATAAGCACTTTCCATTAGTTGAATGGAAATCTTTTATTTCCTTACCCACTCTCTGACCTTAAAAAAAAATTTCATAGCTTGAAATCTATTATTTCTTTTAATTTTTAAGAAATTTACCAGAAATTCAGAGTATCAGGAACTACCACGTGGTAATTGTACTTATATTAGGAATTGGAACAGTTGATTTGACTTGGTTGACTCAACAAACCTGAGTTGAAAACAAAGTGTAAATAGATACTGTATGCCTATGTATGTCCTGGTTTTTTT